TAACTTTGAACAAAATAAGCTTTTCTGTAATTTTTCTGGCAGCTTTGAAAGTCATACAAACTGACATAATGCGCAAATTGATCCATATCAAGAAAGATTAGAACGGAAATGTTTAGTTTTTAATAATGTAATGATTATTTATATGATGTCAGATTTGTCCACATTACAATCAAGTAATTATATTACACTTCCCCTCTGTGGGCACAATGACATAAAACACAGCTTGTTATGGAAGTCCACGGATGACAGAAATAGAAACTTATGACATGAAAATAGATGTGATATTAGACATTATCTTCACAATTAATTATTCCATTTCTGAATGATAAATCTGCTGTCTGGTTATTAAATGAAAGTGGTATGTCTTATAGTATGTCTTTATAGCAGTAACGGATGATTCTATTTACCAGTTTTAACCAATAATATGTTATCTTATCAACCAGATTCTTTTTTTGGTAATTTTTATTGTCTTAAAAAAGAAAAGAAAATTCAGTTCGAGTTTAAGATAAAAGTCAATGAAATAGAAAAGTTGTTAGGTGGTATATTTTAGAAAGAAAAGGTTCTTTTAAAGCCAAAATCATTCTTGTATAGGTCTGCTTGCCTAGCTCAATAGGAAGAGCGTAAGGTTTGTAACCAACGGGTAGCTGGTTAATTCTCCGGGCAAGGCAAATTTTCTTTTTGACATTTGATTTCGAATCGTTAGTGACTGGAATGATTATTTTAACGCACTGTATTTTAACATAAATTTTTACTGCTGCAATTCAAACTTTCATTTTGATATTTGATTAAAAAGGGTAAACTGGAAGCTGGACAAGTTAATCGAAGTGGTTTTGGAAGCTATTCTTTAAAAAGCATTCTAACACTCCACGTGATTTGTCACTATAGACAAAGAAGGAAAAAAACCGGTGTTAAACTGCCAATAAAAACTGGTGAGGGACTCCTTGTATTTGCGGCTGTTATATTTTCACCTTCGATTATATAGTTTACAAGCTTTTTAAAGCAACCATAAAAACATTTTTAGTTATATTTTCAGTTCTTATAATAATTTCTTTTCATACAAAACCGAAATAATATCTCACATACACTAACGCCACATATTTTAGCCATATCAGTTAATAAATATTTTTTAAATATGGGTATCCTGACTGCAATTGAATAGCGAGAAACTAAAATGTAAAACTCATGGTCAATATATTTGAGCACTGTTGTACAGTGTTAATCAGTACAGAAACGTGAAATTATAAGCAATGTGATATCAAAATACAGTGCCACAGGAAGGCTTACATAATCACTTGAACCATTTGGTTCATTATATTCTTACTAGGTATTTTATCTTATAAACAATAAATTTAAACAACAATTCAGTGTACAATATTGAATGCTTCCTGTCAATATTTTGTTCAATTTAATACAATACCTACTAATAATTTTCCACAATTCTTTTTTATTTTTATATTATACCAACTAATGTTTTACAATGATTTTTCAATATTCGATTTGATGTTACTTTTGTCATGTTACAACTTCATATCAACATTATATAATATTTCAGTCTTTTGAAATTTAATTTCATTTTTTTACAAATACACATGTAAATATTTTCATTTAAATGTCGTGTAAACCATTAATAAATTTATTTTTAAATTCAACTCATATTTCATTCTCCTAACATCGAACTAAGCCGTGGATATGGTAGACAGTAATTAGAAATGAAAAATACTAAAATAATCCACTAAATCCATTACGCTTAAGAAATTGGGAAAAAATGCTAAAGGCCAGTTTTCATGGACGAGAACTTAATCCAAAGTTTTATCATCAAGTATAAACAATCCACTACAATTGATGTTAATTCAGGAAGGATTGCGTATACAATATTTTAGTAGTAAGAGCTGCATTTTGGTTTTCTATTGTTAAAGCATTTTAATTATTGTCAACAGAGGTGTCTACCATTTAATTTTCTAGACCAATATGAAGCAAATTCCTTACAGAAATACCATTGCACATTGAACTGCTTTGAGTGTTGGCTGCAATAACAATTTGCCGTCTAAGCAATTATTTTAGAGTCTTTAGTACTTTCATGCAAGTTGACTACACACTTATACAGTGAAGAAAGTACTAAATAAACGTAATGTTTGTTCATTATTAAAAGTAGATACAGGAGAGAGAATTATTACATAAAGATACAGATAGACTGATGGACACCCAGAAAAAAAGAATATGCTCACAAAGATTAAACACTCTTTGATTTAGAAATAACAAATGCTGGATTAGGAAAAGAAACTGTTTGCCATTCAGGTTAAGTCAAATACATGTAGAGCATAACTTGAAAACGATCATAAAATATTGTTTATAAATTTGAAATAAAGCTTTTTGAACTTCATCACCTTTTGAGATACATTAAGATAAAAGTGGTTTCTGAAGATAGTCTAAAATATGATTTCACAAAAGGTTACTCTTGTACTGTCACTTATAATGTCTTTGACCGAGATTTATTGTCCAATATTCGTCTTTGATACTGATGTAGAATCAGGAAAAAGTGATCCCTCGGAAGCATTAATCACAACAAAATTACATGAAAATGGCAAACTCAGGCACAATATTAATAAATTTTATTATGATTTGAGTTGCATGTATATTGTCTTTGTTTGCCTTAAAATCATGATAACAAATGAATTTTTGTTGGTATGTACAAGGGTAAGTATTGTAAAAACATTTGATTCATCAGACAAAGATTATTGAATTAAAATTTCTTAAAAAAAAAAAAAAAAAAAAAAAAAAAAACGACAATTTTAAGTTCTTAAAAGAAATTTTAAGCTAATTGTTTAGAATTTGTTTAGAAAAAGACACGTCAAATATAAATATATTAACCATCAAGAACTTGGAAATATTTCAAATACAAATATGCATTTAAAACATATAGTGCTATAAGCATCTGTTTAATAATTTACATACTGTTTATACATTATGTATATTTTATATAAATATGTTCAAAATAGATATGTTTTCCTCACACAATATCTTAGTTACATCAAGATAAAAGTTACAGAATATGATAAACCTCATTTGTTAAAAAATAATGTAAATTTGCTAAGTAAATTTTTATGTAGTTTTCAATTTTTTGAATCTGTTCTGTAATGGGAACCTAAAATTAATTAATCTTATCATACCCCACATTAATTTAACATTTTGAAAGACAAACTAGGAAATGTCTTTATTTATCAAAGTTTTTCTTTCAAAGTGGCTAGCCATAAACATTTTTCCCGCATCAAGTTTGAGTAGAACTTTATTCGATGGGATTGTTACATCGTGATCGAAAATCATTTTATGGTTTTCAATTTAATACCATAGAGTTATAATCACAAAATTCGAAAATAGGTGTATCTGCATTTCCATTTTGACAGATATTTGAAATGTCAATTTTACTCGAAATATACTTGCATTGAATTGAGTTACTTTGGATGTCAACGTCCCTGTCATAATTAAGTTCATGAAGTATACATTTGTATGATAATTTACTGTGAATTCAGTCATGAATTTTTTGCAGTGATTGAATGGACACTCTGTAAGACCTTACTTTGAATATGCTGCAGAGAATGAAGTACATTTGACAATTGTAATTGGACGCACAAGTAACCAGAAAGTCTTCCAATTACAAAGTGAAGCACACTTAATTATATAGCAGGAAAACTATTTGATTAACTGACATTATGAACTCACAATAACTTGGTTGTCAATTTATATTTTAAGGATTTTTCTATCATTTAATTTATACTTAGCTACTCGTTGAGAACAGTTTAATACCGATTAAAGAACTTGTTTTTTGTAATTTGTACAGCTAAAATTAAAAGTACAGTATAAAAGTTTCAATGTAAAACACAAATGTTTGCACAATTCCAGAAAATGGAGAATATTTTTCTTGGCAAATTTATCAATATATCAATATAGCGGACAAATATTGATAATAATCAGGGAGTAAGTCGTAAGAAACACAAAATTATATTCAATGAAAGTAACAGTTAATTATCCACTCAAAAAATAACGAATAATCCTACTGCAACGAAAACATTTGAGCATAAATTTTAGCAGAATAAGAAACTGCATATGTAAAAAGTAACAACACAATACATATATTTGAAGAAATGTGAATTTTGACAAGAAAAAAACATTTGTTGAAATTCTGTGAATCCATTCATATGACAACAAAATCATAATCCACAGTGTTATCAGTCTCGTGCATTTTGTCATGCCAAGGTTAAACAGATCAGGAAATTCTAAAAAGATTAAATTATTACGGTTAGCTTGTCTGTTTAGAAGAAAAAGTTGAGCTATAATGATTGCTTCGTTTTTGTCGTCATGTAATACCATAAATGTAGGCAAATACTTAAACATTTAGACAGAAAGGTATTAACACAAACGTAGAATACTTGTTTTATGTTGACAAGATGCCGTTGTAGTTATAGTATTGGTGGAATTTCATTATTTTGCAAACATTTCTGTAATAAGTTGAAAAGAATTGAAGGTATCAAGATAAGACTTGAAAAACTTGATTTTCATGACAATGTGCAGATGTAAGATAATAGGGTGTAAGCCTGAAGGGAATAAATTAAGGAGGTACATGTATATCTTTTATTTTAACTGAGAATGTTTTGTTAACATTACTTATACAAAAAATGAAAAAAAAATCAAATATTTTGTACTCATTCATGTCATACATGAATATGAAAAAATAAATTTTCGTAAAAATACCAAACTTTTGAACATTCAGAGTTATTAGTTTTTCATTTAATTGTGCATAACCGCAATAACAGAATGACACTTTTGATCAAGCTTTACAAGGCGTCAATTCCATATGCGGTACGGCTGCCCTTTGTGCTATTCACCTAAGTCACACTTACAATGTACTGTTATGAAATAAAGATAATTATTAGAGTAATACTTAATGAACAGTTTGATTACAATAGTTAAGTTATTGTGTGTCTGAAGAAATATATTTTATAAAGGTCAGGTATGAGGCATTTGGATATTAAGAAATACAAAAAGATCCAGTTAGCAAAGTTTGAGATCCAATTTGTTCTACATTGGAGGACAAGATCATTGGTCGAAAGCAGGTTAGATTATTAAATAAATTTCTTACATTTTTCGATTCGCAATTTTGACGTTTAATTTGATTGTATCTTCCCAAAGCGTGTTCACTATTGCATGTACATGATAGCATCATTTTGGTTCTGGAAAAATCTTAGACTTTTGTTTACTCAATATTTAGTCATTTGACAGAAAATTTCGATGCGTATTTAGATAGCGTGAAATTGAATGACATGCATTGTGATAATAATCTTATTTTAGGCTAACTTTATGTTTGTTTATGTCTGTTTCTTCAGTAAAGTAACTTTAGATACGATACCAGAAACTTATTCGTATTCTCCAAGATGTTGTTCTGTTGTAAAGAAACTCGATGGGAAAATAAGATGTCTGATTTACTTTTTTAGTGGCATATCCCTTCTGATCTTGCATTGCATTGCAGCCACTATTTGTCCCTGCGTGATCGTTCGATGCGACTAAATGGGTTCGAATTACTGGAGTCTTGGAATTTCTTAGCTCCAAAAATCATTTTATTTTGCTAAGAATGTAACATTTTAATAAAAATGTCATGAAAAACGTAAATCAATGGATACATGTCAAACTGCTGACAAATAAATATCATATTAAGGTATGTTGAGAATCGTGTCTAAAATATAATTTGTTTGTCTGTGAATTTCATAATAACTAAAACAAATTATGCATCTAAGTCAATGATGCCATTGATTTGATCATTTCATGTGACGAAATTTAAGCTTGATTATAGAAAAAAACAACAAAAAAACATAATTTTTAGCTCGACTATACGAAATATATGGTGAGCTGTCCTACACGCCCTGCGTCGGCGTCCGCGTCCAGATTTCAGATTAAACTTTTGGTGCAGTTAAATATTATTCACTATAACTTTTTCATTTTTTAGCTCGACTAAAAGAAGTATATGGAGAGCTGTCCTACTCGCCCCGATGTCGGCGTCCACGTCCAGATTTCAGATTAAAGTTTTGGTGCAGTAAAATATTTTTCACTATAACTTTGTCATTTCTTAAGTTATCAATGTCAAACTTCAAATATATGTTCCTTATCATTAACCACATCTTATATGACAAGGTTCATAACTGTAGCACAAATATTTTCCTGATTTATCTCCCCTTGAACATAGAATTTTCCTTAAAAATACTGTTTTATACTGTTACTTTTTATTTCTCAAGGGATCAACTTCATACTTCAAATATATATTCCTTATCATCAACCACATCTTATGTGACACGGTTCATAACTCTAGCACCAATATTTTTAGATTTATCTCCCCTTGAACTTTGAAATATTATAACTTCTTTACCTTTTAATGTATCTACTTCAAACTTCAAATATATATTTCTTATCATTAGACACATGTGTGTCAAGGTTCATAACTCTAACGTGAATATTTTCAGAATTATTCCCCCTTGAACTTGAAATTAATGTTAACAAATGTATTTTTTACTATAACTTCATACATTATTTTACATAATTGATTTTTCTTTCATAGTTTTGTCTTCCTTACCGCGTCCAGTATTTTTATTAGTCGAGCTTTGCTGTCTTCTGTTACAGCTCTTGTTAGAACTATTGTTATTACCCTCTCGTCTACGTTGATTTACCTTGTAAAGTTCATCTCAAAGTAGGATATTATTAAATTTGTATGCCTACAATTGGAAATGATTAACAAAAAATTTACTTGATGTTCATTTACATTTATATTTTTTATTATGGTTCATAACTGAATTAAAAGCTACAATGTAAATGTAAAGCAAAAACTCTGTTTATTTATGTATGGGATTGCAGCAGATAAATTCCCCTTGAAGTACACGACTTGCTCTACATATGTTTCATTTGCATTGGTGTATGTGACATTTTTGTATGTAACAAAATGTCATATAGAGATCAAAATAAAAAGCCTCAAACTCAAAATGTGTCTGTCCATCAACTTTACTTTGAACAAGATCTTCTAAAAATTATTGAGTAAATAATGTGAAGACTTTCTCGGAACGATCACTAGGATCCTCTTTTAAAGTTGATCAAAACAATACATTCCACGCAGACATCTGGTTTCAATGGCAACCGATAGATAAAACTTAAAACATCTACTAGATACCTATATATGCTAGAGCTTAGATACTTGAAATGAAACTTCGTCTAGTGGTCTTTTACTGAGTTAGTTGAAACATCAAGGTTTGGTCATGTATTTTTCTCAAAATTACATAGTATAATCTTTTTAAAAAATCGTTTACTCTGAAATCATACAGGCCAGATTTTAGATATTTGGCATGAAATATCAACTAGTTAATAAAGCCTCTTTCTAGTTTGTTAAAATCATTGTCCTGGAATCTAAGTTGACTAAGCCTTAGGATCATGAGTTTGCTTTATATGTACACAGTAAAATGTTAATAAATCTTCACTTCTGAAACCGTTAAGGCTGGAACGTAGATGATTGGCACGAAACTAACCTAGAGGATCAGTACTTTGTTTGTTTTAATTATGACCCTGACTAAAAAATTGCATTTCCACGGGGATCATTGAGTTTCAAAATATTCAATTAATAAAATATTATAAAAAAAACATAGCAAACATTGACTTTCTTTAGCAAAAAATGATTTCCATAGCCTTGATTTACTTTTGTAACAACCAAAGACTTTCATGGCAACCAGTTGTTCTTAAAGATAAATTCATTTTTATGTAAAATTAATCAATCATGTTTGTGTTCCTTGACATTTGTACATTGAAAATAAAAAAGACAAATACATTAAAAGCAAAAAAAAAATGTTTGTGTTATAAAATAAGTTGTTTCTTGGTGATTGTAAAATTGCATCAATTAAACCTTTGCAAATCTTGCAAGTATTAATGCAATTTAGATATTTTAGAGATAGTATAATTATCATGAAATTTCATATGCCGGTAATAAGCAACATAACTAAAAAATTGTTTCAGCTTATTCGATCTCATGTTCAGAAAATTTATTATAGTTGTTCAAGCTTGTAATTTGTCTCCGGAAAAGCCTTATTAATTTATAGAAATAATATGTAACAAAAATTAGGGTTTATGGTAATTGCCCAAGATACTATCATGTGTTGACCGACTGCTTAAAAGCCATGTAAAAGTATCTTGCATTTGATTGAATAGAAAATTGGAATTAAATAAGATTGTTCTGATCTGTTATGTTTCTGTGAGCATTGAAAATCAGTCCAGCTGACGTAGTATCAACAATGATTTAAACAAAATGTATTCATTTTAATTTTGAGAAGAAGTATGCATGTATTTGTATTTTTTGATGTCAAATTTGTTTCCATTGCAAGATTTAATACTTTTCCCCAAATGTACTTTGACATAAAATACAGCTTTTTAAAGAATTTCTAACTAGATTAATTTAGAAACTAATGACAAGAAATAGATTTGATATTGTAAATTAAGCAATTTATGGACATTTTCTTGACCAATCTCTCTGAAATAATAATTTTTATTTTGGTCCGTTTGATTTACCGCTTAGAAACTTACATTTTTACACAACCCACTGTTTTCCTATACCATTGGCTTCATTGCTTTTTGACTGAATCAACATCAAAACTTCAAGGCGAAAGATAATGTCTTTCGGTTAACTTTTTTTTCATACCACTTAGCTTATTTCTTATGCTCTTTGAGGTAAATTCTGTGTTGCTTTTAAAATTTGAATACTTGTTCGTGACTGCAAGTTTTTAACTTTCAGACAAGTAAATGTATCACTGTCAAGAGTGTTGACAAAAGAAGACCAGATTAACCATTTTTCGATTAAGAATTTCGGTTTACCTTTTGTACAACCTCTGCTTTGAAACCTTGAATACTTCTGAGTGGCCATTTTCCTCACTTACAGACTAGAGCACATAGTCAATAGTGAAGCATATTTTCAAAATTATTCCCATTTTGGAATTAGCGACGGTATATTTCTTATATCCTCCTTTTTTATTGAAACTTTAAACTTTGAATATGCGTTAGTCATAGTGATTTACAGTTTTGTATCCCCTTTGTCAACTTAAAATGATTTTTTAGTGTTTTTTGTATTATTAACCCAGTTGTTTCCATAAAAGTGATAATACTATTTGAGGTATTTAACATGAAAGATAATTATTAATTATGCAATTTTACATTTGACATAATTAAGGCTTTACTTCACCTGATTTATTAATAGACCTCTTATTCTTTTTTACACTTTGAAGTTAACCTTTTCTTATTTAATATTATCAAGTAAGGCTTTAAAGAAGCTGTTCTTAATACCTTATCAAGTACGTATTATCATAAAAACTTCACATTAGAAATAAGGTCATTAGATAATTAATTGAACTGCATCTAGAATGTGATGATATATCTTGTCAGGTTTAATTTCAAGCCAAAAACTAAATGTAGGGAAAATCCTATTTTATAGATATTGTTCATCTCATGACAGACAACTCGTGTCATTTTCGAAATGGGCATAATACGTGTTCAAGCACGAAGTTAATTTGTCTCCGGAAAGGACCCATTAGTTTACGAAAGTCTTACATTCAAATCAGCATTAAGTAATACATCCCAGATTTTGTTATTAAATGTTGACATAATGCCTCAAAGCTATGAACAGACATCCTGATTCTAATCAAATATCGTGGAAATGAGCTGAGAACTTTTGGTCAATGCCTGTGAGCACTGTTCGACAGTGTTCTTCAGTAAAGAACATGAACTAGAAAGCAAATATGATATCAAAAAACAGTGTTAAGCGCGGGCTTAGATAATCACTTGCACAATTTGTTTTCTGTCTGTGTAATTATTTACTGTAATATTTTCAGTTGTGTATGTCAGTGTGCAGTTAACTGACTGTTTACTTAATTGTTTAGAATTTGTGATCCTTACGACATTTTAAAGCAGCAGCATTGCATTCAAATCTTGTAGTACTGTAAATACTTCTTTCTGATTTAAATCAATAGTTTTCTTGTAACCGTATATGTGTTATATATTTCTTTCATGATGGAGATAAACGAATTTCCGAACCTTATTC